GTTATGTCTTTATGTTCAGATTTAATGACCCGATAAATGTAATTTGATGTTGACATATAATCAAATACTGTGCAAAATGAAAAGTGCATTATATATTAAACATGACATTGATTATACTTTCTATGCGCATGAAAGCATGACATTTTAGTTGCGGGATATATTAATAAAAATATAAAAAGAGTTGATACTTTCTGTCTGAAAATGATTAATCATATTATAATATTTATTTTATGGTAATTCTTTTTCTTATTCATAGGGAAGATTTTTTCATTTGTATATATTATAATATTGTGCCGAAATTTTTAACCATATTTTGTATTAATAAATATATACTATTTTAATATTATATTAAGAAAAAAGAAATGTTAAAAATTCCAGGATAAAAATAAACTAAAATTATTTTTCAAATATCATAAAACATGTAGTTGGAAACTAAGTGATTTCAAAGGGATTTCTAATCAACGTGCGGGAAGCCCAATTCTTTTGTCTGCTTTCTATCTTACGATTCAAGCAAACCACATATGCATGTCCCCATGAATGAATTATCCTTGTCTACCTTTAGATGCACTGGCTCTGAAAGTACTGGGTAGAAAAATTTCATTACACGCACACATGACTATATGTGAGGAATTCTCATGGCATTTAGAACGAAGATAATAACGAAATTGGTGCTAATTAATCCTTCTTTTATTTATTATAATTCTAGTATATCATAGTCATGTGAAGTGTACTAATGCAAAATATATAATTCTTTAAATATTTACACATGATGCCTACTCATGTATATAAATTGCATGGAAAGAATTGCATGGGAAGAAGTTGAAGGTAAGTTTTGACCTTGCTATGTGTGATGAGATCTCTTCGAATGTTATACTTTATTCTACATTACCACGTGAGTTACAAAGTAATTTTGCTGTCATTAAAGACGGCTTTGGCAGCTTTCGCAAATGCAGAAAATTGCTTTTCCACATCTTCGGGAAGTATAACGGTGAATATATGATGTGTGAATGTAGCGCACGCCATAAAGATTAAGAACTTGTAATCTCGTTGCTGACGTATTTAATTTAATATTCGCTAATTTAATGCGCTAAGTACAATAATAATTTGCGCACTTTCTAATTCTAATTATAATAAACTTTTTAATTATTTAATATAAACTTTTTAATTATTTAATATCTCTCGTTTCTTATATTATCACGCATATTTAGCGATAATGTAAAACTGTAATAAAAGAAACATGGATTGCATTCGAGATTTAGAAATGACTGATGTATATGTATGTACAAAACATTTACAATCGTAATTTCTCCAGCTAACGTTTCCCTTCTGCGATAAATACAAGTCGCGGCTATTTTTTTAAGTAACCATCACGTCGAGTCCATTGGAAATTTGCATTTCATATTGTACGTAAATATTTTCCTCACTCTAAAGCGTGCGTCCGAAAATATTATTTGCTCGAATAATATTTCAGAGTCGCTTTCATGCATTTTTCCACTTTCATAATCAATTATTTTTATTATCCTTTTAGCGAATGTTCATTATCCTTTACACACACAAAAAAACAAAACAAAAAAATACCCAATAAAATTGCAATGAAAAATTGATTTGATAGAAATTAATTTGCTAAATTAATGATTAATTGATACATATTTTTCTTTAGATACATCATATTAATATTTTATTTCTGCAGATATACGGATTAAAATGTTTTTAAATTTATTATAATTAATTTTTTTTATTACAGTTAAATTTATTTTATATAGATATCAGTATGTTTCTATCCTTTAGAAATTATAACATAATACATAAATAAATAAATAAATATATATATATATATATATATATATATATATAACATTTAATATCATTCGTTGGTTTTTACTATCTAGCCCGGGAGATTTAAATTTGCATTTCATATGAAAACTTTATTAATATTTTAATTATTATATAATTAAATTTATATAGAATCATAAATGTACTGAATTATAAGAATCATTTTGTCATAATTCACTAATTTATAAAATTATTTATCTAATTTAATTTGTATTATATAAAAGATAAACTAAGTTTCAAATAATATTTACATATTATGTATATTTAAAAATATTTTTATTTATTTTACTTTCTTATTTTTAAATATAAAAATTTGCTTTTGAATGATATTATATATATGTTTATTTTTCATTTTATATTTAAAATATGCATGCAATTTATATTACACTTGACTCACGTAATTTATATATATATATATATATATATATATATATATATATATATATCTGGTAGGATTTATGAATTACCAACCAAAAAAGAGACAAAAATAAAAAAATCTCTGCTTAGAGAGATGTTATTGAATATGCTGAAGACACGCGGGAGAAATTTCCTGAGTGGAATGCATCGTGAGTAGAGTAAAAAATAAATCATGATATGCAGGGAACGTACATAAATATATGCGCGTGTGTATGATGCCAAGTGTTTTCCAAATAAATTGTAATGGAAAAATTTCATGTATAGTCGTCGCTAATTAAATGCATCAGTTCTCTGCCCGATCAATCTCTTCCCGATGGACGTTAATTAATAAAATGCAATGAATAGAAGTACTAATTGATATCGCACGAGTTCGATCATTTTTATGATTTTATATGACTTTTCACATCGATCTTTTTACCCATGATGAAAAGAGTTTTGAATTAGAGTCTCCTGCCTATTTGCGCTTTTTCCATATACAGTGTAATTAATCTCTGAATACGCAGATATCTGCAGTCGTGCTACTGCTAATAAATATAACATTTTACTGCTAACAACAGTCATATATTCACTATTTTTATTAATATTTTACAAAAAAATATTTTATTTTTGTACGCGCTTTTTAAGATTTTATTGAATGATTTAATTATGACCTTTTTTAGATAAAAAGTTAATTACAATCTTTTTTATAAATTTTTATAATAAAAGATAATTTGAGAATTTTTTTTAATTTAAAATAATTTGACTATAAAAGAGTTGATTTAATTAACTTTCTCTTTTTTAGCATTAAAAACCATAAACGGATAAAATAAAAAAATAAAGAAAAATATATTAAATGCAATATAATATAATAATTATAGAATATATTTGTTCAAATATATAATCGAGTAATTTTCGATGCGTTTTAAATGTCTCCATAAATTATAAAACAATCTTCTTATTTTTTTTTATTTTTTCTTATACATTTATTTAAATATAATATCACATTTGATGCGTATTCAAGATTTTACCAGATATAACAAACTTTGATATGTACAAACTTTGCTGGTTTTAGATTCATATATTTTCATTAAGAATAAATGCAAAAGTTTGAATGAGAAAATTATGACGGTAGCGTTGCTACTTGTCGTACGATTTCATTGTCGAAGAATCTTGCATCGGAGAAAGTTGACCTCAACGAAACTTTCTCTGTACGACGCATCCCCGAAGCTTATAATCTGCTTGTCTTAAAGGAGGTTTACAATTCTTTATTCGTTTTCGTATTTCCTACGTTAGCTTCATTGATTTAAACTTAAACTGAACATACATCGTTTCGCGCGATGATAGACGCAAAATGTAATATTGATGCGAAATGCGAAAGTTCCATCGAGCTTTATGCTACATGCAATCTACATATATCTTTCGCGCGCTTTCATTATGTACACATGAACATCCGAAATTTTCATAAAGAGACAATTTTCGGACCTTTGATGTACCACCAGGACATACGGCTGGATATTAATGTGAGAGCAAATTGCACGGTAATTTAACACGCTACGTCGGATTACGAGGTAGAAAAGTATAGATAATTGGAAAATTTTTGTGACATTTTGAAAGTCATACAATGCATAGAATATTTCAATTCCAATGTTATTATTTATTTGTTTACTAGAATGACAACATAATTTTATAAATATCCATTTATTTTCATGGAATTGTTAAGAAAGAAACGAATCTGGATCAATTGAAGAGTGTTTGTTAAAAACAAATGGCAAATGTATTCCAAAAGACAATTTAAAATACATTTTTAATATATTACATTTATGTCGTTACTTTAAATTATTTAATATATAATATTTAAAAAATGCGGTAGAAAAGCTATAAAAAATATATAGTTATAAAAATATTATATATCTTAAATGTGTAATTTACACATTTTACGCGTTAATTTATTATTTCGATTATTTTTATGCTCAATTTAATCAGCTAATTTTTCGATAATCTTTACCGCATAAATTTAGGAATTAATTATCCGCATCAAATGAGCGTAATTGCGCATTTCCCGACAAATAAAGTGCTATTGTAGTAGTGTGCACACTATATTGACAGTGTATAAACTGTACTGTGTGTAATGACGTGCTTTAATAGCGCGTAGCATAACATTTTTTCAAGAAATAATTATATTTATTCAGAAATTGCATTCTGATATTTATTGTCATTCTAAATTTTTATAAAATTACTAAATCTGTCCATACATAAATTACAGAATTATAAAAATATTATTTCTCAAGATGCAAACATTTTATTAGTATTTTAAATAGAACAATATTTTTATATTTTCTAATAATCAAATAAACTTATTATATTTTCTGTGATGTCTTCTCTACTGTTACAATTTTTACATTTTAAATTTGTCATATGCTAAAATAATAGAAACGTGGATTTAATTTTTATACGTTTATTCAGTAGCATTTTAGACAAATTTATATACATATATGTAAGTTAATTATATACATAATCTAAATAATTATAAATCATAAACAGCAAAAACTAAAAATTTTATATATGTTGTGTAAAAAATTAAATATTATAAATATTTATTCATATTTTATGAATATTTTAAATTAAAAAAATTAAAACATTTTGCACAGAAAATATAATTATATATTTTGTATAAGCAAGATAATTATAATTATCACCGTGAAGATAAACAACCAATTAATTTTAAATAGCAAGTAATAAATAAATAAAAGAAAGTTATTAATTTCGCCTACCTTACAATTTCTTCATCTTGTCGTTCGATGTTTCTCTGTCCTCTCATGTTTATCCTTCGTAGTTCTTTTATAGCACTTACACTCACTCGCAAGAACACAACTAATTTCGATAGCCTATGCAATAATCTAAAAATACGATGAGATCGCGTAGCACTTTGTATTTGGCAACATTATTAAACACGACGCGCACTTTATTATTTGCAATGAAAGAATATTCGCCACAGTTACTATCTCTATTGCAAATGAATATGCTCGTATTTGGAAATAATTTAATTATTTCGCATCGTAAATAAATAAACATAAAAGTTAAAATTAAAAATAAATATTTACAAATCGTTATTTCCAAGAATATATGCAGTTTGATTTATTCGCACGACAAATTTCGATCAAATAAATCTCGCGAGATACGCGTTTTAACAAATTATCACGATATACTAAAACGCAAGATTTATATAATACGCACTAAATATCGAAATTTTATAACGATGTTATTTAAGACGGGATTGTATTTTATAATTAGCTCTCATTATCATATCTCTCTATTTGACTATACTCGCGATGTTTTGTTAATAATTGAAAAAATACAAAAAAAACGCTAGCTTCACTATTGCGTAATCGAGCAAACGTCTAATTAACATACGATAGATTATCAGAAAACGTGTAATCAAAATTTAATATATCTCAAACATAATAGATTTCGAATGGAAAATTCTACAGAATACGCGTATCATTAATACAGTCGATATATCGCATCCTGAATAACCAATCATCGTGCGCGCGAATAATATTACGTATCTTTATCGCGGAAATTGATCAATTACGTTACTTGATAATCGTTAATTAAAATAATTACGAATGATCGTGTTTCGAAGGATAATATACGGAGCGACTCGCGTGGCTCTCTATTCATCGTCACACGAATAACAAGACTGCGTATCATATCAACATAGCGCGACGTGTTGGCATGACCTTGTTGTCATTTGCCAGTTGAGACAACGAAGAGGGAATAGGTAGTAATGGCTTTGTGTATAGTTACATTATTTTTCGAAACGCGATTACTTTCCGCAATTATTCCAATTATCGACTTGTGTAATAGATTAATTTCCGCGACATAAGATTACGCGCGATTATTTAATTCAATAAGACACGGCTGTTTATTACGTACTATTAATATGTATATTTCGCGGAGAATTTTGCGTTAGAAATTTATTATATTTACAATATTAAATATCATTCTTACATATATCATTTCTTATATATATATCAATTTTTGAGTCATTAATGAAACGTCACGTGTGAAGTATCGATTTCAAGCGGCACATTTAATTATAAAATAGTCGTTATATATTGTTGAATTCTATATATCTGTAGGTTTATTAATCACGTATGTACATTCTGCGTTTACATATCGTTGTAATTTGTCCGAGTGCGTATTTCGCGAGATTTATTTAAGCAAAATTTGTCGTTCGAGCAGTAAACTCAACCTGACTTGTACTTTCGAATATTGCAGTCTGTAAATATTTATTTTTAATTTTAATTTGTATGTATTTATTCACTTATAATACAAAATAATAAAATTATTCTAGAACACGTTATTTTAAAATTCGTTAGTCACAGATATAATATTATCATAACACGTGTTCCACATCCGATAATATTAACAGTGTCGTGTAACATACTACGCACTCGTTATATCTGCTGATTAGTATGCGCGTGATCGTAATTAACCATCTTTCCGCGAATGAATATCATAAAAGAATAGCAAGAAATTAAACAACAGAAAGAAGCTTGAAAAGGTTAAACGATAGCAGAATAAGCGGGGAATAAGGTATATAAGTTTTTCTTCTTTAATTATTTGCTACTTGTGTAATTATTTGCAATTAATTTCTTGTTTAGCTTTGCAAAAAAGTTATCCATTATTGTAATATAATGTTAATAAAATATTTTTGTCTTACAATATTTAAAATATTTAATATATTTAAAATATATATTTAGGATAATTATAATTTATATTTATTTCTTTTTAAGAAAGGAGCTTATAGTTTAAGAAAAATGCTCGATATTTTAAGAGAGAGAAAGATGCTTAAATTTTATATAATTACTCAAATTATTTATGGAATAATTAAATGTATACATAATAAATAAATTGTTATTTATTATATATTTTAAAAATTAAAGAAAATGTTTTTGAATATATTGAAATTTTTTTAACTAAAATCGAAAGGAATTAGGCTCGTTATGTATCAAACAACAAGATAAGAAAACTAGCGTATCCGAGCCATAGTCGCTTGGCAAGCGAAAAACTCGGGTTCGATTCCCGATTCAGCAACTTCGCCTCGATATTTTACTCGTCTACTTCTCTTCAGGGGGGTAAAGAGGGTTTTTATAGAATTTCTCAAAAATGAGAATCTACACGGTGGGCCATTTTAATCGATGCACTCGAATATCTCGAAAATAGCACTCTTCAGAAAGAAATGTTTCAAACAAAAATTGTAGGATGTGAAGGGGGACATAAGATGGTAGCATTGGTTTGACCTTGGAAAGTCATTTGAAGGTCACATAAAAGTCACCTTCAATTTCTTAAATTGAACCCACTATTTTTCATTACATATTCTTGTAGCTTATCTCGAGAGCTTTCCAAAACACTACAGACAAATGTTTTTTCATTAAATACTTTTTGAGTTATAAGGCTTCAAAGTTTGCAGTACTTCGATATAAAATGCAAAATATCTCGTAAAATATTTAGTTTTCGGTAGTCTTACCCTAATACTTTTATGCACAGGATAATGAGACAAAACTATTGGTGCAAAGAAAACGCATGATTGTTTATAACAAAAAGTGCATTGCAAATTACACATTTTTTATCATAAACAATCATACGTTTTCTTTGCACCAATAGTTTTGTCTCATTATCCTGTGCATAAAAGTATTAGGGTAAGACTACCGAAAACTAAATATTTTACGAGATATTTTGCATTTTATATCGAAGTACTGCAAACTTTGAAGCCTTATAACTCAAAAAGTATTTAATGAAAAAACATTTGTCTGTAGTGTTTTGGAAAGCTCTCGAGATAAGCTACAAGAATATGTAATGAAAAATAGCGGGTTCAATTTAAGAAATTGAAGGTGACTTTTATGTGACCTTCAAATGACTTTCCAAGGTCAAACCAATGTTACCATCTTATGTCCCCCTTCACACCCTACAATTTTTGTTTGAAACATTTCTTTCTGAAGAGTGCTGTTTTCGAGATATTCGAGTGCATCGATTAAAATGGCCCACCGTGTATATATCTTGGTAAATGCACCAAGTAAAATATATGCATATGCCTTGTTCTCGTTTACATTTTCGCGTACAATTAATATTTTTAGGCATTACCATCCGCTATGGCTCGGATACGCCAGTTTTCTTATCTTGTTGTTTGAAATTTTTTTATTTTTCTCTAATAAATATATGTTTAAAATACGTGGGAATAATTTTTAATTACGTAATAATTATATTTTAAAATATTAATTTTGTGGACATTATTTTAATGTAAATATATCTGTATGTTACAGATTAATGTGATGTACTCTGTACGCTGTAATTCTACTGTTGCACATCATATCGGTGAGTGTTCTAATTTTTTTAATTATTTTAATCTAATTTGTCAATGATGTATTAATAATATAATTGTATTTAATATTTAATTCAATAATAATATAAACTCAATAAATAGATAATACACTTACAAATGTAGTATAACAAACTCAGTTGAAAAAGCAATTTATTTCAGTTTATAGTGCAAATATAAAATTCTAGAATAATTATATAAAAAGTAACATAACGATATAAATACCTAAATAAAATTAAATATAAGAATAAAAGGAATATGCATTTTCAATAAAGTACATTTTTTTTTTATAAATGCAAAATAAAATTTTTTAAAAATACAAATTTTATGCATAGAAAAAAAGTCGAATCTGATTTTTCAAGCATATATTTGAACGAGTATATATTCATCTTTTCTAGGTCTTGACTATTTGCAATCATTTTTTTTCATAGGAATTTTAATGAATGTTACTATACATATATTTTTTGATAAAAAATGCAGGCACGATCAAAAGCTTTTAACGGTATAATTGTGTATGCACATATGAACGAAAATATCGGAGTTTTCGCAAGTTTATTATCAAGCTATCTTTTTCAATAAAATTGCATAATTTTTTGTATATTTTATGAGAGGTATTTATATCTATTGGCTACTTGTGTCTTCATGTGTCAAAATTTTATTATTATTATGTTTTTATTATCATAAGCGAAAATAGAACGAAAATTGTGTCATATTCTGTAATGTTTAATGTATTATTGAATTTCAATTTTGCACTTTAAGACTACTCTAAATATCAATGATCCGATAGATTTTATATTTGTTTGAACAAGAGTGGCTAGTGGAGCAATTCATCCAAGAAAACAATTTATTCTCAGTATACGTTGCCGAACCGCAACGAGAGGAGCGTAATGCTCTCTCTCTGTATTGTTCATTCTAAGACCGCAAAATAATCGCAGAATAGCACGTTCGGTTCGTCGTATCGTCGGCGATATTTCGTTTCGCGGTGCGTCGAAGCCACCGCTCGTGCTGCACATCAGCTGTACGGGAGATCGGTAGGCTGCCTCTACCACAAACTTCATTACGCGGCCTGGTCAAACCCAACAAAATTGAGTGCCAATCTACGCGGTCCAGAAGGATTTTAATCGTGCAGATTTATCGTACATAGTCGACGCGTACGTCTATCATTTTGCTAGTACATTCCGGAGTTCAATGTTTGATTTCAAGGTTCGCTTGTGTATCTTGATTTTGATTTCATTACATTATTAATAATTGATCTCTCTATTTTAAGAATAATATTGACACAAAAAAGCGAGATTTGCGGTAAAAATTTTTTGAACTATTGATCGACGCGTACGTTTATCATTTTGCTAGTACATTCCGGAGTTCAATGTTTGATTTCAAGGTTCGCTTGTGTATCTTGATTTTGATTTCATTACATTATTAATAATTGATCTCTCTATTTTGAGAATAATATTGATTCAAAACAGCGAGATTTGCGGTCAAAATTTTTTGAACTATTGATCGACGCGTACGTCTATCATTTTGCTAGTACATTCCGAAGTTCAATGTTTGATTTCAAGGTTCGCTTGTGTATCTTGATTTTGATTTCATTA